CAGTGTTCAAGAACTGTTTTAGCTTTTCTATCTAGAAGATCTGTACATATTATTTCAATAAGATAAAATCAATTTTCAACTGCCATTAAAACTTTCAGTGCTGACTGGCTCTAAACTCCCCATTTCTTAGTGTGAAACTGACACCCTTACATTTGCTGGTGACATCAATCATTGAGGTCCATGATGCAAAATACATCACACAAGTCAAGGCAAGTGCGTCATTCTGTTACATATACACCTAGCCATAAAGGTATTGTTTACACATATCAAAACCTGGGTGTAAATCTCCTCTAGCTGACAACATCAACATGTTGAGGCCACAATAAATGAATTGTTTTATTTTCATTAAGAAATTTTTGAGGCATTATATTGTTTGATAGCATATTTTGTTTAACATTCCTTTCAAGACATAAGCGTATACACACAGGAGCAAGATGGGTCTCACATGAAGCAGAATATTTTGTAAGAATACAAATATGATGCATTCCATGTAGTAGCCCACAAAGGGCAAGAACACCTGTAGTTACATTAAATATTACAATTACAATGATGTGAGGTGGACATTTGTTGGTGAGGTACCCAGGAATGAGAACATCAATCATTACTCTATATCAGCCTTTACAAATTTACATTTCATGAGGCTAGTCTGATAACTCAAATCTCACTGATGCATGCAACTTGGTTATCAAGGTTGCACAAAGGACACCTGGATAAATGTCACCAACAGATTTAGTGTTTCCATCTTGGCTGCCTCATCGAGTTTCTGCAGGAAACTTTATTACCTTATTAACTGATATACAGTCTGCAGGGTGATATACAGTCGGTGTCGTACGTCACACCTGCACTGCTTGTTCAAAAATAATTGCAATGGAAGGTCATATTTTTTACCTTACCTTTTTACAGATCCTACTGTGAATTTTAAAACTGAATTTGTTTTCTGAATATGCTCTGTTTAAAATCTGTTTTTATACATTTGTGAGTTCCTTGAACTGGCAAGATGCATGGATGCACGACAGTAGTGGTGTTCCGATTAACTGAAATAATCGAAGATTGGTCGCAGTGACCAAACGACCAAGCAATCGATCACATTTTCTCATAGTCGAACATAAACGATTTTGGAACTACTGTTTCAGTCTTTGAAATACTTGACAATGGAACATATCTTAGAAGTTGTCAGGGCCTGGAAACATGTTTATTTCTTAGAAAACTCACTTCACTAACTGAAAAGTCATGACTGAATATTTCTCTAAGACTCCAGGGTGCCGTTCCACTAACCGATCTTAGCCCTATGCCAATCGTAAACCCCTAAAATCCCAATCTTAGCACGACGTTACGATCGGCATACCGTTCCACTAACCAATCTTACCCAAGTCAATCGTAAAGTTAAGATTCAAAGTCTAAGTTGCTCATGACAAACTTAGGATAGCTAAAATCAATCGCAGAGAAATTAAAATGATACCTTTCCTATTCTATGTGAAAAATAAGAGCGAGCATTTCACGGTGAGTGTCCCCTAAAGTCCCTCATGAAATGAATTTGTATATTTCTGTGATATAAACAAACACTGCCCTGAAGCCTTACAAATGTCAGGCCAGTCTGACCACTGTCGTCATTGGAACAAAACCGAGCGAGTCGGTGTAACACATTTGTACAACAATATTGCAATGTCATGGTTAAGAATAGGGACAGCCGTGAAGTGAACAATGTTCTGAAGCAAAAAGATACAAATATGTTTGATTTCACTGCGCATATTTGGTGGGGGATTCTAAAGGCAGGCCGCGTGTTATTCAAGACCACTGACAGATTCTACATACGTTATAGCCTCGTCACGCTCTGACACAATTGACATTTTTGAAGTCCAGACTTAAAACCTGTTCTCAGTATATTACTTATAATCTCGGCTGTAAATACTCTCGTGTAAATTATCTGTACATAGCGCTTTGAGCATGCCCCAGGATGTGGAATAGGCGCACTATAAATATGCATTTATTATTATTATTATATTATGCCTGATACCCAGCGTTCACACGCACTTGCACCTGAAACCAAGGTGCTCACTACCCTAATATTTTGGTCTAGGTTTTTTCTCCACGTTTACACTTGGTTGGAAAAATACCCATGAAGGCCCGCATTAGAATATTGAACTTCAATAACCCATGCTTGTCATAAGAGGCCACTAACGGGATCGGGTGGTCAGGCTCGCTGACTTGGTTGACACATGTCATCGGTTCCCAACTGCGCAGATCGATGCTCATGCTGTTGATCACTGAATTGTCTGGTCCAGACTCTATTATTTATAGCTAAGATACAAAGTGAAAGCTGTGCATCTTAGCTAGATTATTTACAGACCGCCGCAATATAGCTTGACTATTGCTGAGTGCGGCGTAAATCTACACACACTCACTCACTCAGTTGGTTCGTAAACTACTTCCATCATTTGCTAGACTATGCAAAGGGAGATAACTCGTGCCTCGCATTCCTTTATCTCTCGCACGAAAGAGCCTCGATCTAAGCTTGGATCGGATCGTAAGATCGGGACCGGCTACGATCAGCCTAAGATCGGTTAGTGGAACGGGTGTAACTTTTAGCTAAGATGATTGTAAAATTGGCGTAACTTGCTAAGATTGATCTTAGGTAAGATCGGTTAGTGGAACGGCACCCAGGAAGTTTATGTTCATGATATATTTGTCATCACTTTAAAGAAACAAGTTGCATCATGTTATACTTTTCTGCAGTAACAACCTGGATAGGAAAATCTGAAAAATGACACTAACCAATTTTTTTCAATGATTGTTCGTTGGTAATGAAGCAATCATCAATTGTGAGATTTCAACCAATTCCCAACACTACACGACAGTCTTCCTGATCTGCATTGCTCAATGCAACAGCGGCAGTCTTGCAGGCTCACCTCCCATATGAAACTGACTTATACTTTTCTTCTACCAGCCAACAGTGGGGGAGAGAGGTAACAGAAACACTGAATTGCCTTTTTTTTTCATTATATACCTACTGAAAGGTATTCTTTTAGAAACTGTAAAGTAATTTAAATAAGTATGTCAAAAGGTGTTGTCGGTGGAGGTTATTATAAGCTTAGAAGGTTCTGTATTGCTTAAAGCTGCTTTCAGGAATACTTCACCTTTATGATTATGGTTTGAAAAATAATTGTGTCTGGACCAGACAATCCAATGATTGTCCAGTGAGCATTAATAGTATAGCTGCCATTGATGACAAGCATGAGCTGATGAAGACAAATTCTACCCTTCCTGTTCATGGATCCCATTCAGGAAGATATACATGATCACCTATACTAAAACTAAATGCTTAAACCTAGGGTGAACTCATGATATATTTTGGTATACAAGCAGATAATCACTGACTGTCAAGTGTACAATGTGTGCGACTCTGCATGAACACTTGAGACATGTCTATGATCCTCCAGGTCTCGTAATGAATACAAAATAAGCCCCAGCTGCTCCCCTCTACAACCACTGCTCCAACTGGATTTCCTGTCTCCATTGAATGCTGGTCTATAAACATTTATTCAGTCATTCATTCACCAGATTCCCCCAGATCAATATTTCTGCGAACACATTAACCTGCACCTACTCCATCACACGGCTGATTAAACCACGGAGTGCTTGTGTACACTATTAGTACACCATTAGTACACCGACAGTCATCAAGACACCATCAGCCCGTTTATAAGCTGATACACCTGCTCATGATTGGAGAACTATAGAACATTAGTCCATAAAGTAATAAGTTATATGTACGCCTGAATAGTGTGGTAAATTACTTTTGTTTTATTATCAATTATTTCCAGTAGTGAACATGGTGAAACAGCAATCTCTAATATGCCAGCTTACTTCTTTCAGAAAATAAAATATAATTTTTTTTGTTAGCAGTCTTGTAATTGATTTATCATGGAGTAAATTACAGTGTCTTTCACCACCACCGCCACACTGTCAGATTCAGACAGCAGCGCTTAGCAACAGACTCCGCTGTAGAAGAACCAGCACCTCCTCCACATGGGACAATGTATTACAGTAGGAGTAACTGCAGGGTCTTCCAACGCCCACATTCTTCATTTAATTAGAGCCCTCAGACTCGGCTAAGCTGGCCAGACCTACATGTGGATATGTGTAGGACAGGGGCTGCTTGGTCATTAACTATACATGTCCACGGGCAATCAGTATAGTCACTGGCCTCAACAGTGGACGAAGGATATGGCTGACAACAACATGTCACATTATTGGGCAGAGCCATGAGAACCTGCATCACTCGGAATTTGTATTTGTGACAAATACACCAAAAACATCAAGAAGTTTAGAGTTGCTTGTGTACACATATACCTAAGGGGCAGTGGGGTAGTCTGGTGGTGAAAGCGTTCGTTCGTCACGCCGAAGACCTGGAGTCGATTCCCAACATGGGCACAATGTGGGAATGCATGAGTTTAGTTTTACGCTGCTTTTATATTCCAGCAATATCATGGTGGGTGGACACCAGAACTGGGATTCACACATTGTACCGGGCATGTGGGGAATTGAACACGGGTCTTCGGTGTGACAATTGAATGCTTTAACCTCTAGGTTACCCCACCGCCTTTTAATTGGATGACATGACCACCTGTGTCCCCATATTTCACTTGATATGCCGATAGTATTGCACATGATATGCATGGTGAGTAGGTCTGTCAGCTCCTGTAGCAATATTTTTCTAGTCCTACCATGGCAGCTGGGTGCAGCAAATAGATTCTGCATGTGACATGCATGTGGATTGATACACGTAAATATGTCCTTTTGAAACCTGAGTTGTATGTGCCATAGATTGTATTAGTAAAGCTATATATGTTGGTAGCAGATGGGTAATTAAGTCTGATAACTTATCGGGGTAAACTATCAAGAGTAATTAGTCACTGACTTGTCTGTCTGGTGTCAAGGGTGCTTGTTACTGTATGTGCTTACATGGAACCAACATTGTCTACAGTTGTCACTGTCCCTACCTTCAGGTTGAAGCTTGTGGCCATGTCGGTGAACATCTTCTCAGACTCCTCCGCCGTGTCCTTGTCCAGGAAGAGCAGCCCTGTGGAGTACAGTCCCGGCCTGGGCAGCTCCCGTGACCCCATCGCAGTCTCTGTACAGACACACAGACACATCACCAACACACCTTCACAGACAGTAATTATACAAAACAGAGATACATATGCTCTATAGCTCATGAGAATTTTTCAGGATTATTTGCAATGAAAGGTTTCTTTAGAACTGACTTCAGTATATTTTAAGTGTATTAAGGTATAAACACATGACAGGGTGTTCAGACAATATAACTTTGAAGTCAATTCTTATAGTGAGTGAGTTAATTTTACACCACACTCAGCAATATTCCAGCTATATGGCGGCGGTCTGTAAATAATCAAGTCTGAATCAGACAATCCAGTGATCAACTGCATGAGCATCGATCTGCATAATTGGGATATGATGACATATGTCGACCAGGTCAGCGAGCCTGACCACCCGATCCCATTAGTCACCTTTTATGACAAGCATGGATTACTGAAGATCAATTCTAACCTTCACCGGTCAGTTCTTATAGATAAATAAGTCATCTAATGGAATGCAGCTGGCTAGATTTGTTCTTTCATAATCTTGATTGGTTTTGCTGTCATAAATATATATACATGTATTCCTCAGTCACTGGGCAGGATTAAGCAGGTTTGTGGGAATGGCCATATTCCTTCAGATATTTAGTAATATAAACATAACAAGTCTAAAACTAAAAACTTGGAAGCCACAGAGGCGCATATCATTTCTGCAAGCAATTCAGCAATGGTATGTTTTTATCTCTTGGTATTGGGAAACTAAAGAAACCTTCTTATTCATACTCCTTACATCAGTTTGTCAGTCAGCCAGCTAACCCACACAGCGACACACTTCAGAAGCCGCAGTGGCTGAGCGGGTTAGGTGGTAGACTTTGTGTGCTGGCGATTAGGTGCCTGACTGAGGGTTCAAATCCCGGATGGGACTCAACCCAAAGAAGTACTAGAATCTGTACTTTACTGTGAAAGTGTAATCCCAAAGATAACATGTGTTACATAACTGAAGATAACTGATGAAACTCATTGTTTACTTAACAAATTACCTGATTATCACTGATAACAAAAGTCAGCCATCATTGGCTCCTACGAGGAAGTGTCTAGCACTCGATATGAACCAGAAGAAAAGTTTACTCAATATGCAGCCAATGGTACAGTACAGCCCCACACTTGTCTACAGATGAAGCTGCAGATACATATACAAGGTGAGCTATAGCAACAGCCTATCACATGACTGAATGTCAGTAGATAGTAACCCCTCATGACGTAGATAACATCATGGTGCATGTGCAGTGTGTTGTATAACCACCATATGAGAACCACTTTCCCATCTGTCACGCTCCTTCTTGGACAGATGCCAGGAATGAACACACTCACCGAGAGTACCAAAATTGAATGACCATTATCATTAAAAAAGTTTTAGAGACTGGAAATTTGAAAATGGATAATTTCATGACATACTCAACCAAAATCTTGTAACCATTACACCTTCATTTCGGTCAGTCCTTGTGATTAACATGATATATGAAGGGCACATTCTATCTGGACTCAGTCACAGGCATGACTCACTAGTCCAAATCAAATTACATTTATTTTTAAACTCTGCTGGATGGTATGAATTAATGTAACTGTATTTCAAAATAACCATTCTCTAGATGACTGAATCTGTTGGCCTATAATTGGAGTTTTATCACAAGAGAAATCAGGTCTTAATTTCCGCCTCATCACCTCAGCTCTTCATTGCATGTGTCAATAGCTAGGGTCATCTGGATCAATGGACATCATATCATGATTGGATCAATGGACATCATATCAAGATGGACTAGCCATTGATGACAATCCCATACAGCTTCTTGCTGCCACCTAGCATCTGTGTAAACATGATATATCTCTGATGAACATCTCTCACTTCATCCCCCACCTATTACTGTACCTTTACAAGTGCTATCCTATCATTCAGTACCAGACTTCATTGAGGTAAATAGATCGCCTGTTTATATGCTATTGTCCTGTTATTGTATCAGTGCTACTGCAATAGACATGACGTGGGAAGAAATAAATGTGACTGGCCGGGAAATCAATTTCGGCAAATACTCTTTTTCCACATTCCTCAAGTCTGCCGTAATCCTGTGAGAATGCCTGCGAGAACATTACATATTGATTCTATCTGACAAAGAGCAGGACAAGCCTTTCATGTGGCACTTTCCCAGATCAACAACAGGTCTGGAGGTGACTGATGTCCATCACTTGACTCTACCTGCTCTCAACAAACAGCCATGAAAGACAGTCCAGCAGGCCCCTCATACAAACGTTCCAGCATTTTGATATATCCAATTTCTTTCCAATTTCCTTGGTGATTTGTGAAATTGAAATGTACAGAGCAGCCCATCTGGTCTACAGATCAATCACAATAAGGAGGAAGATCTCTCTGCTGTTGTTTGGTGAAGGATAAAAGTGCAATACTGTCAACTGGTATACTGTAAATCATGAAAGTAATGTATCATCAAATTGAGTGCCTTTGAACCATAAAACTCATCAGCAAAACACCAAAACTGTATACTTAGAATTCCAGGAGCTAGAACAGGCTAATGGCAGTTGGTTTGAATAATACAAACTTAACTTCAACTTTCTGACATGTGATCTAATTTACACGAAGCAGGTGAGGTGAAATCGGGTTTAACATCGTACTTAAGAACATTTTGCTCATATGACGATATGCATGGGTATGTATGTGTGATTGCTTGTACTAGCCCAGACTTAAGCTGGTTTTATAGTGCTAGCTCACTGAGATACCATGCCGCAGTTAAGCATGAATACCCAACTCAGACACATTATACTGACTCCGAACCAACGAATCCTTGTTTTACCCATTAATGCCAAGCGCCAGGCACGGAACAACAAGTGCCATATTTTAATGTCTTTTGGTATGACGCAGCCGGGGGATCGAACCCATGAGACCTTCTGCTCTCCAGGCAGATGCTCTAACCACTACACCACAGAGGCGGTACATGTAGCAGGAAATTCCCAATAATCATTTTTCAAATGAGATCCCAGATGATGATTGTTGACGTTCCAAGTCTTAATCACACAAGTTAGCAATGGCAATGTATGTATCCACCATATCTTCTGTTGCTGGGCATGTTCACGACATAAAGAGGATTCTCTGAGGCAGATGTGTCTGTCATTAAGAGGAATCCTTTTTAGCAATTACTGAGTTCCTTCCAACATCTAATTGCATGGCTCATCCCGTTGTGCTGAGATAGAAGTAAAGTACAGCATGTCTGCACCACCATCAATCTCCTTGTCACATTCTACAGAAAGGTGTACTGGGTTTAATAAACACACTTCCAAGCTGTCTCTCAAATACTTGGAACATCAAACTGCATGAGTTGCCAACAGAAGTTTCATATTATTTTACTAATGGTTATCTACCGGTAACTGTCAACAGGTGGTGACCCATGAAGATCCGGGGTAGAATAGGTCTTCAGCAACTCTTGTTTGCCACAAAAGGCGACTATGCTTGTCGTAAGAGGTGACTAACGGGATCGGCTGGTCAGGCTCGCTGACTTGGTTGACACATGTCATCGGTTCCCAATTGCGCAGATAGATGCTCATGATGTTGATCACTGGATTGTTTGGTCCAGACTCGATTATTTACAGACCGCTGCCATATAGCTGGAATATTGCAGAGTGCAGCGTAAAACTAAACTCACTCACTCACTCAACAGGTGGGTACATCTGTAAGTTCATTACCATTTATCAAGAGTGGATGTTCTTGTAAGTAGATATTGTGGTGATGTTCATATATAACATGCAGACATTGCCCACACTACATTTTCCTACACCATGATGGACAAATCCCAACAGCCAACTTCTTTCTGGATATCCTTTTCATGTGTTTCTGTAACATTTACCACTAATTGCATATCATAGGATAATGGAAATAAAAACAGTAAGACAACGTTAACATACTGTAGATAAGGTTTGCAATCATAACAGTCACCAGATGTGACCATGCAGACTGTATCACATTGACCGATTAGAGATTTTGCCAACTACCCAAGGCCATGCAAGCTATAAGTGCTTTGGGATACCAAAGGTTACAGTTAAATATTTGAGAATTGCTAAACATCAATTTCCTTTTGTCATTTCCAAGATTTTATCCCACACATATACTGGTGTACGAATATAGAAGAAAGAAATGGTATCAGATTGTGAAATACCACAAATAGAAGTGACACAACTAAATGTAGTTTGTTAGCCTGTCTCAGGCCCTGAAATACTGTGTCCTTTTGGCCCAGCACTGCCTGCAATGCATGTGCCCTAAATGAAGAAAGTCTAGATTTTTTACTGGGACTCCTTTTCAGTTTGGATGGAGTAAATTATTTCTCTCAGTTAAATATTTTCAGAGACTAAGTGTAGGTCTTGTTAGATGTATGTGAAGCACCAAATGTATGACAATGTGGTAAATGATGCCCCATACCATCCTCATAAGCTGTACCACTCAACAACAGCACTGAGGTAACTAACCACACAGGACATAACATCTGCCCTACAGGAAGACCACTGAGGTAACTAACCACACAGGACATAACATCTGCCCTACAGGAAGACCACTGAGGTAACTAACCACACAGGACATAACATCTGCCCTACAGGAAGACCACTGAGGTAACTAACCACACAGGACATAACATCTGCCCTACAGGAAGACCACTGAGGTAACTAACCACACAGGACATAACATCTGCCCTACAGGAAGACCACTGAGGAGGTAACTAACCACACAGGACATAACATCTGCCCTACAGGAAGACCACTGAGGTAACTAACCACACAGGACATAACATCTGCCCTACAGGAAGACCACTGAGGTAACTAACCACACAGGACATAACATCTGCCCTACAGGAAGACCACTGAGGTAACTAACCACACAGGACATAACATCTGCCCTACAGGAAGACCACTGAGGTAACTAACCACACAGGACATAACATCTGCCCTACAGGAAGACC